AAAAGTATAGAATATTGAAGAAGAGGTTATGCGCTACAAAATCTGCAAATGCATGCTGTCGGCGCATCGCCAGTGGTCTTGCGCGCAGTTATCATTTTTAAACGGACAGAATGGAACCATTACAAACCGAACTTTCCTTAATCTAATCTGAAGGATCTCGCCTACATATTCCAGTCAAAAAACTACTGATTCCCTTTGTGTCTGCGGTGTTCTAGGAACCAAGTTAGGGGGACAGAACTTTTCCGCACTCTATAAATCATCAAAACAATATGAACATCTAAGAATTTGTACTCTACACATGCGCTATTATTTATTTTAGCTCATAACTTTGAGAACAGAAATAAAATTAAAGAAGTAATATTTCACAGCCATAGCAGAGATTTTCTTGTTTTCAATAATCAGTGCATCTGAAGGCTGCAACGTCAGTCAGCATCATTGCAAATGTATGCAAAAGGAATTTTGTTTAGTCATTCCCATTATCATGCTTCGTGCCGATAGCTAATTTGAGTGGTGAGAATGATTAGTCATTGAATGAGCGACATTTTCCCGCTCTATAAGTGGAAGTTTTGCTCTTCAGGTGTGCCGATGTCGATGTGGACTAGGTATGACGAGATTGGATAGGCTTGCAGCCGATGATCGATCAGTACGTATATTCTACGATATTCTTTACGTTGAATCTTCAGGTATATATGGCTCTGTCAAGATGAAATGTCTATTTTACTGACGTCTGACAGTTTTGGAAAAATCATTTCTTGCAGAAGCGCAAGGCCAGAGAAGTAGCGCAAGCGCAACGCGAGGCTGCTCTTGCCGCTGGGCTGCGGACTCCACCTCAAAAGAAGAAGCACAGGGCACGAAATGCTCTTCCGAAGCTGAATTTTGGGGGCCTCGTGAAAGCGCCTCCTCCATCAAAAGCGTATATGGAAGATGTGCATGAATCCTGGACATCATTGTGAGAGCATAGGCGTATGGTTCGAGAGCGAGATCAGATGAGGTTGACTACATTTTATAGGCGACAAGGACCCACACATCGAGATCGATCTTCATCATCGTTTTCTTCGTCTCTCACCAATCAACAGGTTCATGAAAGTTTTTTTTTGTGTTTGTATTTTTTCATGGTACTATTTGAATCAAAAAATGTTATTTGTTTCTAATTCTAGAGTACACTTGAATACAGGTTGCTGCACTTCCCAGAATGAACAACATCGCGAAAAAAATTTTTCCTGAAGCTCTAAAGAATTTTTCCCAAGGACAAAAATCCCTACGACTCTGCGACGAAAAGCTTGAGAAATCAGAAAATTGCTGCTTTTTAGTTATGTAATCAACGTTTGACAGTAAATAGGATGCAGCTCCTAAATAGTCAAGAGAATACGCATTCGCTCTTTTATTGTCATCCTGAATGCTCATCTTGTTAAGAATCCATTTTCTCATCATCTCTTCATAAGATAAAATCATGAGTTGCTTATCTCCATATCTCTCGTGCTATGGCTTGGATGCACAACAGAAGGCCAATTTGTACCGTCTCCAGAAATTTTCCGAAAAATCTTCGGTGCATCCCAATTTAGAACTTTTGAACACAATAAGCAAGTAGTTCTCATAGCGGTTCGCAATTTTAATGACGAATTTGCCAACTTAAAAGTTAGCGTCATATAAATTGCAGCCATCTTTTCTATAATCTCTATCAAAGACAGCATGTATGTAAACAAGAAATTGAAATTTCTGTTGACCACTACATCCCATCCATTCTGGTCTTGTCAGCTTTACCGGTCGTACAATTAAGGCTTTGCCAGCCTTAGGCCATGGCATATGTTTCCTTTCACACTGCTGACTGCTAATGTTTTCCAAATTTCAGTCTAGAAGAGAATCGTCAACGTATGCTTCCGATGCTTGGGGACTTCTACCATCGTTTTCGAGTGATACTAGAGCTCAGTCAGGTATGCGTAATTCCCGGGGGAGAGAATGTTTCACATGGGTGGTGTTCTGAAAACTTTTTCAATATTTTTTTCTAATATAAGAGTGGAGTCAATTGTCAAGTGGATCCGAGAGTGGAACCTAACTAACGGAGAGCAGGAGCAAGAGAAAAACGTGTCACTCTCTATAACATAGATTAAACTAGCTGGCAAACCCGGCTTCGCCCAGCCAAACGGTTATTGTATTCGTAATCAACGTGCTCACTAACCCCCATGTGCCAACTTAGCCGCGTAGCTTGAAACTTGCAGAAAAATCGATAAAAGTTGTGGATAATTTAAACTACTATTGTCTTCGATACTATTCCACTTAACCCACCCCAAAAACGCAAAATCATGGATTTTGCTGGAACTTGGCCTATGGGGGTTTCGACACGCTGATACCGAATATCATATTCATTTAGTCCGGTAGCGCCATTTTCTGAAGCTACAAGGGGTATGCGGTAGGGGGTCAAAATCACGGATTGTAACTTGACCTAAGGGTGTTAACTGGCATACCGGTAACTAATAACGTAATCTTTTGCGTTTTAGTGCCTTTTCGGAAGTTACGTAGATTTAAGGTAGGGGACAAAACCTCAAAGTTGGCCGGGATTCGGTTTAGAGTTGTTTTACATGA